TTATACATAAATATAGCCATGTCCTGGAGTCTGCGATTACATAACGTTGGAAGTCTTGCTTTACACAACTGCTTTATTAGAATACTGATGAACTTAATATACATTGATAGATATATGGATAATCCTGTGACTGCTGCTAAGGGTATGCTATAGAGTCCAGAGTATGTAATAGCTAAGGTATCTATCCAATAGGAACAAACGACGATCAAGGACGATCAAGGATGGATAGCCATTGCTGACTAGCACGCATGTTTATCACTTTGAAAGTTGTGAAAACATCGTCCTTCGGTTCAAGAACTCATCAATTCTCCCCCACTACACCGGGACTGGTCCCTAAATCCCCTTGAATAGACTCTTCGACAGCGAGCGCTGAAAAGTTTCAAGTGAAGGGCTGTAAAGTAAACTATTTGGAGCTCCGCTTTTAGGCTGGGCTAAATCTATATGTTAAAAGACAGTGCTCACAACATTACAAGAACGCTGCACACGAACAGCACACGACAGAACAACGTGGAGAAAGCTTGCGTCCACATCCATAATCCCCTAGCTACCTTCAGTCATGAGTATGGGAACAGCTAGCAAAGCCAGGCGAATCCCAAGCAAGTTTACTTCATTTGAGACGGATCTTCAACGAGATTATTGTATTAGCATTCTTCGTTTTATATCAGCTTACAATGTGAAACCTCAGCTTTAGAATAGAAAAAGACACGATATTCTAGTTTTACTTCGACATCACCCTGTCCCAGTTATCGCATGACAACAGCTGTTTTGGAGTAAATTCGAACAGGCCACTTCCGAGTTCTCGCGGTTCAGAAATCTAGTAACGAAATTAGGGCACGATAACGAGGCTAAGTTCGAAGTCATTCTAATTGAAGGCCTGGCAATTTTCCCTCATATATTTTGAACTGCGGTTATAGATACGTATGATGCACTATCCTCGCAGTAGAGAGTGCTATTTATGCAATAGCGAAAATCATACGTATCTATAACCGCAGTTCAAAATATATGAACTTCATATATTCATCATATCTGATTTATCATCACGGGTTTATTACGAATCAACGTAACGGCCTGCTCCCGGTTGGCTTGTTAGTTCAATTGGTAGAGCGCTGCACTAGTATCGCAGAGGTCAGTGGTTCGAATCCAGTACAGGCCTAATGTTTTTCGGGTCTGATGTTCGCTATTGCATAAATAGCGCTCTCTACTGCGAGGATCGTGCATCATACGTTTCCCTCATTTATTTATGAGTTTATTTTAGTCGTCATCATGGTTTTTCTCGACGAGGACTTAATCAGAGTTTTTATCAAAGCGCGGAGAAAGTGCGTCGAACGATTTTCTCAACGAGGAACCGTCGATAGCTAGCAAACTATGACTCATCTTTCCATAGCTCCGTTTCATAAAGATTTCGCTATTCATACGGTCCAAGTTCATAATAAGAAGAAATCAGAATTTTTAGATATCAGTATCACTTACACGAAAACGACATCAATCCGGGAATCAAGTGGAATTTTTCTAACCTGCAGCCTTTATTCGAATCTGTCTTAATGGGAAAGCTCAACTTTTACATGGGGTAAAAAGTCCCTTTCTAAGTTCAGTCAGTTTGTAATTACATATTAATTCACTCAAGCTCTCACAGATTACTAAATTCGGAATTTTGACGTCCGGTATTTGTTTATCAGAGAGCATACTCTCGTTTTTCCATGATATTTGATTGCTGTTATTTTTGTATTTTCCACCCGGATTTGCGGTGCCGTTTTTCATTATATCTTGTTTTCGTAGTTGTTTGTTTTTTTTTTTTACCAGCTGTCAGTTGTAGAATGCCGCCGCGTTGAAAAGCTTCAAGTATTGATTTCTCAGGCATGTTTTACTATAAAGGCTGATAGTTTCGAAAGAATCAGCGACTTGATCACAAAAATAGAACTTAAAGGATTTCTTTTACGACAAACACATTCACAATGACACAAAAACAGTAAAATATCGACATGATGTCCGTAAAGATGAAGCCAACAGGACGGCCTAAGAGACATATTCTTACTTTGGGGAGATGATAATTATTGTTTATTGTTTCGTCCTTTAGTTCGACTTCATTTGCATAAGTGTAAGACTGGCCCAGAGACTATGTTATAACAATACTCACGGCGAGACGAAAGGACTCCTAACTGAAATATTGAAAGCATACTAAAAAAGCTTGCAAGGCATGAGCCGAAAGTCTACTGATTTACGAGTTTTTCGAGTGCTTTTTTACTATTACACGTTACGTTATATTACATGATAAAACTCGTAGAAAAGGAATCTGCACTACTGAAACGAATGACACCAGTCCATAATTAGCCATTTTAAATGAAATTTATTTGTTTAAGCGTTAAGGAGCCTTTCATAAAGATAATGACAAAAGCCGTTTCCATAAAGACGGGTTAAGCTTGATTTTGAATATACATTAAAACTAAACTGATAGCCCCTTTCAGATGCGACGCTCTCTAAACAGAACGGCGTTTAATATCCTTTCGTTGTCTATCCGACTATCCCAAAATTCGTTTTTGGTCAGGGTAAGAGGAAACTTAAAATTTCCCTCTATATGTTAACCAGGTTGAGTCTTTCGCATTTTCTTCGCCAAAACGCTTATTATCCTTTATCATCCTTGAGTAAAATTACGAGCATGAATAGCGCGTTGATTAGTTTCATCATGAACTGTTACTTAGTTTCATTGATGTTCGCTGGGAAAACTTCGCTTCGAAAATAAAGCCACCTTCTGTTCAAAACCTCTGAAGAGGTTTCCTTCACCTGAGCCATGCATTTGATCCACTTTCTGGAGACTGAGGCAAACCAGGAACACATTTAATCAAAATATTATTAAATTAAAACTAAAGGGGGCAGTTTTTGCGGAACTGAAAATTTGCAAATTCTCTCAGACGTCCTTACCATCTTGTTAATTGATTCTGTTAAGGTCAACCACTTGCAAAGCTAAAACGTTCGTTAATCAACAGAAGGTTTAACCGTTTTCAATGTTTTAAGGCAAGAAAAGATGATGATGAAGGCGACTGATGTATATTGAAGAGGCTCATTTTGTTTTGATTCCCAAATTCTCTGAGCCTGTTTGCTTAGAAAGTGCATGGGTCGATGGATACTTTTTTTTCATTATAACTCAGTTTTAGAAAGACAATATCACGTTCGACCTGGTAATCAAGATTAAGAGATAAGTTAAAATTTAACGTAGCCAGGAGTCTGGCTTTCTATATTGATATGATTGCTTTGCAAAGTGCCAATATTTTAATACTGCTGTGTTCCGGAACTCATTTTATCTTATCTTTTGGAAAATAGAAAAAAATAAAAGTTCATTGGAAAATAGCACACAGTAATTTGCCACGTGTAGTAGAAATTACAGCTAGCAAGAAGTAAAGGAAAAGATGATATTACTTAAAAAGATATCATGAAGTAAGTGAAACTGAGAGTGGAATATTATGCAACATAGTGACTAATGGACTTATCAATCATTGATCAACAGATATGTTGGGCTGTTTCTTAGCGAGCCTTGGTTAAGCCGGAGTTAATGCATTTATTATCCATTCTTCTATAGACATCGAAAACAAAAGCTTTGAAATGTGGTAGATGGTTGCTAGCGATAATGCCACACAAGCAAACAAAATTTGCAACAAACAGATACTTTGATTTCACATCTTGTTCGGCGTAAATATTCAATTACCGTTTTGCGTTCAAGCTTCTATGTCTCTTCAAAGTTTCGACGAAGGCCAGCAAGGGAACCAATATAATTTAGTACTTAATTGAATCCGCTGATAATTTACATCTCCGAGATCAAGATCGACTTACAAATTCATGAAATACACGTCATTATCATATTGAAAACAAAACCTCATTAAAATTAACTTTCAACGCACTTTAAAACACGCCTACTACAAAACTAGTTTCGTCCACAGACCTCTTCAATTTCGCAGAAATACACGTCACTTACATGAAAATATGTTGTAAATTGTGGAGACACACATTATATTGAAAAAAGCTGCTAATTCCATTGCGAACATGAAATGACAGCTCCTTCCTCTGTTTCAAAGTCAACAGCATTTTGGGATTAGTTATCTGTCTCAAAGGTAAGAATTGTGCTTTTAAAGCATAGGCTCAAAAAGGGTTCAAATTTCAAAGTACTTAGAGAATGTTCAATAGCCTTCATCGCTTTTTATTAACAGTGGGCGAACAACTGGTGAAGGAAAAATATTTGTAACGCCCTCAAAGAGAAGTTTATGCTAGGTCAAAAATGATTTTCGGAAGTAGAAAAAGCGTCGGGTCGACACAGAGCCAAATGTTTTCTTATTTTTCGCGAGGATTTAATTGACGAAAAAATTTTGCAATCTCTAATTTCGGCGGCGGTTAAATCATACCAATATGTTTTAACCAAAACTTCACCAAAGGACAGTTACGTCAATCAAAAACCTAGTTCACTCCTGAGAGGTAACACAATATCTGTGGGGAAGTACTTCACAACAATAAATTTTACATTCGTGGCTTTAGGGTTTTTGTGGAGTAGCACTGTTCAGTCTCAGAAAAGCAACAAAGTGTTCTTTAGTTTTGCGTGTTACATCTGCTTTTAGAAGATGTAGACCTCACTTAAGTAGAGGTTAATTCCGACATACTTTTATCCCACTGTCTGGCATGATGTGACAGTTAAATGATTAAAAAAACATAATTATTTGTCTCTGTCAACATTTGAAAAGCTCTGAAGTAAGACTTCCGTACCTTTCAAAATTGCCGAAATTGAAGTAATTTGCAAAAGTTCGGCAATTTTTTTTTTAAATTTGGGTTGCACTTAGTTTATACTACTTGTTGATAGATTCATGGCTTATACAAACAAAATAAGCTTTCGTGCAGAGGAAGATTGCAATTAACGTCCAAAGTAATTTTCTGACAATTAATTTACTTCTGTAAAAAAGCAAAACGTTTCTAGTTTTAGATTCATTAGACTGACGCTGAAGCGAATATAATTGCACCCACAGACCTCTGCAATCAGTGATAACACGACCACACTGGCTGGCGTAACAGTTGAATCACCGGCAGACTCTCTTAGTTGAAATATCATGGCGATATTTGGAAATGTCTCGTCATACGAAGACGTACCAACTGCAAGCAGCAATAGTACTCCTTCTTCAGTAGAGTGCTTTAGTGTTCCAGGGCAAGCTACCATCGTGATACACGTTTTCGCGCTCTTTGCCTCCTTGATGGGAAATTCCCTCCTAATCACTGCCTTTGTTAGAATGAAAGAAAAAGTCATGCTGGTGATCGCTAGCATGGCAGCATCTGACCTTCTGGTGGCAATCTTTCTACTTCCTCGCTTCATCTTAGCGGAGGTACTCGGGTCCAGCGCTTTCCTTATTCACGGAGGAGGAGGCACATTTTTGTGCAAGATGTGCAGCTTCCTTAGCGATATGTCGTTGTCAGTAACAACTCTAAGTTTGATTGTGATCGCGGTTGAACGCTTCTTAGCTGTGGTGTATCCTCTTTTGTACATGAAAACCTCTAGTAGGAGACGTCGTCTTCTCGTAGCTTCAACTTGGATCATGGCTGCAGCATTTCACTCGCCATATTTTTACATGTTTCGACTGGTGACAAAAGTCGACAGTCAGGGTCAAGGTTACCAAGTCTGTTCCTTAAGCTGGGAACCAGCTTTCGATCACCAGACAGTGCATCAGCGCTACAGCATCTTTCTCTATACCACCGTTTTGATTCTACCATTGCTCGTTATTTTCGTTTTGTACGCTGTTGTAGCTTTCCAACTTCGAAAGGACAAACTGAGTTCATGCCGAAACGAGAACGGGACGAAACGGATTCGAAAACGCACCCGGAGCCTACTTGTAATGGCCATTGCTACTGTTTTAGCATTTCTGATCTGTTGGACGCTCCACATCGCATTAACTGCCGTTTTCCTCTTTTCACCTTGGTTGGTTCCAAAGTGCAGCAAAATCTTCAAGATGATGCTTTATCTCTCGCACATTTTGGCAAGTTGCTATTGCGCGATCAATCCATGGATCTGCCTCTTCTTTATTCCAAGGCTTTTTCGCGAATTGAAAGTCATGGTACATAGAAGAACATTTCGGCGGTATGCAATGAAGGGAAAAAAAATGGGAACAGAGACCGAAAGTAGTAATGTCCGGCTTCGGTTTGAGAGTCGCACGTGTTCATTTACACCCGATAGCGATAATCAGTAAAAAATCGACCCAAGAAAGTCGCTGATGGCTAGAGGCTTTTGCCATCTCTTTTAACCTCTCTTCAGTGAGCGCAGAAAGGCAGATATATGAATCTCTTCCGTCAGGACGGCTTGTTTAAGGATTTCAGTTTGATGACTGGAGGAAGCACACTCTTTAAAAGGATGTCCAAAGCCAATCTTTCCCAGAAACATTTTATTCTTGTCGAGCGTTCTTCACCATCGATATCACGATGCTAACTGGATATAAATTACACTTTATGGGCCATGATTCATATATTTTCCTTTTATAATATTTTCTTGTTGTCTCCAAGGCTAACTCAATGGTTTATCTTTTGTTTATTTCTCGTTTACACAAGAGTATACTAATATCGCCCTGAAGTATGAAGTTTTCTTTATAGTTATTTTACCGCAGGTATATATTCATATATTAAAAATAACCAAGCAGATCGTAGAATCTTAGTGACGACATATCATAAAATATATGTTTCTATAGCATGTCTAAAATTTTTAATCATTGGACCTTTGAGCACAGTTTTTTTATTCTTTTATTGGGCCGCCATTGATAAGTGAAGGGGCCAGCGTGTTTGAATCAATTTGATCAATACCACTATTAAGGTCGCCCTCTACATCCTGGGAAACAGAATATAAAATGTTAGAAGATCAAATTTTGCTGCCTTTGTAAAAGGGTAGGGTACTTACATGTGCACATCCAACGGAGTCACAAAGGATTGGACCAACTTCAAAACAAATCAGCTGACATATATACTAAGCAAGCGATAACAACAACAAAAACGATGACTATGAAAGTGTCGGCCATTGATTTACTAGGTTTGCTATTGGTGATTGCCTGATAATCAAAGCTTTAATTTATGTATGAAACTAATGTCTTGAATGTTAAAGAATATGGTGTGAAACGGAAAAAAGGTTTTCCTGAGAAGTTGTACTTAATTTGAGGGATTGTGTTCTTGTAGATATAACTGAATGTAAAAGCTATATGTAGGATAATAGAAAAATGAGAAATTACGTTCGTATTCCTGTAACGTAATCTTTCAATTCTTTTTGCCACGAAAATACCAAATTTAACCTCCCTCTCTTCAGCAATGGCCTCTAATTAAAGAAAAGTTGGTGTGAGAAAAAAAAGAAAAGATGAAACTCTGAAAACCATTTTCAAAATGAGGTTATATGTTTAATCCTCGTCCGGACCTTTTAAAACTGTTATTCTTTCGTGATCCATTTTTTGAACTAAGTACCTCTTTGTAACTTTACTCAGACGTTATGAAAATAACACTTAACCCAAAAAACTAGATATTCTCGACTTTAACATCGAATTATCGTGTAAATGATATATAGAGTTCTTTTAAATGACAAGAAAGCAACTACCAATCGGAAACGTCTGATTATCATCCAGTAAATCAACCAAGTTTTAAGTTGAACATTATTTGAAAACATGATTTTTGCAAAAGAAAATTGGATTTGACAGGTACACTTACAAAAGCTAAAAAAGCAATTTTTTAGCTTTTGAGCAAAAGCTAAAAGAGTGTTTATATATATATATATATATATATCATAATGAAGAACGTGAGTATCAGTGACACACTTGGCTGCGCCTTAAGCTTGTAAGGAAAAATTTTAAAGTAATCCATAAAACATTTCCGACAGCAAATTTTCGTCGAAGCAAATCAGACTTGACAAGTCTCAGGTAAAACTTATGATTATCTGAGTAATTTTTCCCAAGTTTTTAAGTCTTCCATCGGATGCAACCAAGTTTTATTAATTCCCAATTTGATTGATTTCAAGATCGGAAAACGTTTTATGTTTGTTACAGACGAGGCAACAAAAGTTCTTGTTAATGGCCTGTGCTGGCGGCAAAACCTTCAAAGCCATCAACCCACCAGTCAAATGCTTGTTAAACAGCAGTTGTTCACATACATGCCATGCCATGATACATAAAATATAAAAGTACCTTGGAATTCTAGATACCATAGTCTTACATTTGGCGTGAAAATATGTCCTGATATTTATTTCTGGGCCAGGTCAGCGAACGAACAATAGTTCATCTATATACATGTTTGTGACAAACCTTTGTTCACCTTTTATTTCCCGCGTTCTCACATTCCGCGGTTTCCAAACCAATGGTTTGTTAATAGCATCAAAAGTCTTAGCCGTTGAGAGTTCTTTCAGGACGATTCAGCCATCTTCTCTTTTTGCGCAAGTTCTATCCTTCGTGAGGAGTCTCGTGGTCACGGCCTTGCTAGCTAGGTGACGACATAGACTCCAAGGGTGATCAGGTTACAAGCAATTTGATTACTGGTTTGTTCATATGAGTGGTCTCAGTAATCAGATCGGTATTCGTTAATTTGAGACAACCACTAAATATAATTATTTGTTTCGCAACATTGCACATCGTTTCCTTAATTGGACTGTCCGGAAAAGGTAACGTTCCATAAGCTGTAGAAACTTTTAATTTAGATAGTGGTCAATATACATAACCAAACGCCAGGTGGTAAAACCGAACTATCTTATTGTAAGCCCACACAACCAATACCACAGTTTCTCTAGAAATTTACATCTTTTATTCATTGCCCGAAAACATTTGAGCTAATTAAAAATTATCACATTCTAGATAATTAGAGTACAGGGATAAGACGAAAAAAGAACGAATCACCATTAACATGCTAAGAAGTATTACCTACTGCATGCCACATGCAGCATACATATGTACATCAGGGCTGGGTTGTTCAAAGCTGAGTCAAGATAACCCAGGGTTAGTGTCAAATTTGCCAGATTTCAGATCTGAAAGCTTGAAAAGAAAATTCAGTTTAATTCTTTGTACTACAATTTGGTGATTAGATGCTCTAAAAACAATAGGGGAAATTATCCCAAAAAAGCTTTTGAATGGAGAAATATAGAAAGCAAGGCTAAAATTTAACCTTACGTTAGCGCTAATCGGCCTTAGTCAACTACGCCCAGTGCATCATCATAGACATAGGGATTGTTACTTACATTCTCAAGATTATTACGTACTAATAAAGGATTCTTCCTTGCTTCTTCGTACAGACCACTGTTTTTCATTTTTACTTCAACTTTCGAAATGATTTGTGACATGTTGAAACAGGAATTTTCTTCGTTTTTAAATTTCGTTAAGTATAGTTTTCTTTTAAGGTCTGTTTTGGCATTTGCCAAAGATGGAGTGCCACCCAGATAACAAAATACTGATGTAAAGTTATCATGATACTGAATTCTTGGTCGAAGCCAGAGTCATTTGAGCCTTCCACATTTCCGGCAAGTACTAAAGCGTAACTAATCTGTTTTAATACAATTTAAAAAGTAGTCTTCATAAAGTCATTGAGAAACACCATTTTACTTGAATACTTCATACAGCCGTATTCTTAGCATCTGATGATATGTCTCATGCAGACAATGGATAATCGTTTGCTTTTATTTCAAATGGCTCGCCAATTTATTATGAAATACCATGATTGGAGATAATTTCTCTTTGGTGATTGCATGTCATCATTGAATCCTCTGTTTCTCCGTGCTGTTGGCAGGAAAAATAACTTTACTATTCTGGTATTTCTTAATGAACTGTGTGGTTTCTCAAAACTAATCTAAAATTGAGATGATGACAAATCAATTTTGTTTTCGTCCTTTTGGTAAAACAAGCTTCCAGCAATAAAAAAATCTTAGCATGTTGGTGAGTCAAAGATTAACCGCAGGCAACTCGTCAGCAGTGACGAACCTGGGAGAAGGCCGACGATTCAGGTCACAAGTATTATAAAACTGCCAGTGGACACGAAACTGTCACCCGACTTAATCTTTCTTGATTTGTAAATACCGCATTAACAAAAATTACTTTTACAGATTTTAGTTAGCTCGCGCGAAAAATTTCGCAGGAAAATTAAGCAAATACATGGATTAACTGCACAATACGACGAGGCCAATATCCGCGAGATATGTCGCATGACGTTTTGTATCTTAATACACTCGGAAACTGGGCTTAGAGAAAAGAGGTCAAGGAACGAAAAAACAACAAAAGGAGTCCAACATATGAAAAGTGCCGTTACAGTGACAGCGGCCATTCGGTGCAATTTTCTGATACGTTCTCGGTTTCGTCTTGCACACCTTTCGGTTCGACTTGCCGCCAGTTCATCCTTGCGTGAGCTGTATACTACAATGGCCGAGAGAACGGAAATAACGAGTAATGGTATAAGCAGGACTGTTGTGAATAAAATAATGTTGTAGCGAAGGTGCGCCGGTTCGTGATCAAAAGCTGGCTCCCATGTAGGCATGCACAGTTGGATCCTTTTGTCGTTGGAGTGGGGCGAAATTAGGCGCATCGTGTAAAAATACGGTGACTGAATTGCTGCAGACAAGATCCAGGTGGAGAAAATTGCACCCCGGCGTACACTGAGTGTGATTCTTTTATAAAGCATGGGATAAACAATTGCTAAGAGACGCTCAACGAAGATTATGACCAGACTCTGTGTCGATACTGCCAATGACATGTCACTGAGGAAAGTACACATCTTACACAGAAATGCGCCTCCACTTCCATGAACGAGAAAAGCGTTGGACCTGATGACTTCTCTTGTTATTAACCGAGGAATTAGAAAGATCGCCACTAGCAAGTCAGACGCAGCCATGTTGACAATGAGCAGCATCATGTTGTCCTTCATTCTTAAAATCGCGGTGATGAGGAGGATGTTTCCCAGCATAGCAACTAGCAGGGTGAGGACATGTATCACTGTTGGAACTTGCGCTGGAACTAGTGGAACCCCATCACTGGCACAAAGATCCTCTAGAAAAGAGTCGTTGCGGCTTACATTTCGATTGTTTTCCAGATCATCTACAGAGACGTTTGTATTCATTTTGATGGAATGCGTTGTAAAATGACCAAGCTCGAAATGAAAAACGCTCGAGTTTGTGGTCCATTTATGTCTCTTGCACTTCATGATTTTCAATACAGCTGTGCTATTCCAAGTGGCTGCAGATGGTCAGGAGCCAATAAATGTTCAAGTTGACATCCCTTGAGATTAGCCAAATTTATTACTCTCTGTACGCGTGACAACCCACTGTTAACAGAAAACGATATGGTGATCGTTGGAGAGTAGAAAGATTACACGATATTGCACAGTACTACAAAACGATATAAGTGAAAAAAGATCTTGAATCCATCATAAAACTATTTTATTATAATATTTAGAGAAAATCATTTAAGATTGTTCTTTTTCGGCAGTAATTTTCGTTAGGGCGACATATGAAAAATTTCTTTTTAAACAGCTCTCATTATTGATGCATGGTCGTTCTTCCTGTGGGAGTACATCTTGCTATAATTAGCTATAAACCCATATGATTTAATAGTGCCAGTTTGTATTCCACGAATTACCTAAAAATCCGACTGGGGCACGCTCAGGACAATTAATATTGGCTTAAAAGCTCCTCCGAAAACATCAGCAGTTAGAGGTCGAATTTTATCTGAAAGAACTGAGCTTCTTGAATTCAAAGCCACCTCCCAAAACACCTTAATCTCAGTCGAAGCAAGTTGCCAAATCTGTAGGACGAATATATCTATCAGATACGTGGAGTGAAAAAAATTAATACGCGACAGAATGGGAGATAAATAATGTGTGGTTCCGATAAATATTGTAAAATAACAGTGATTAAGTTAATTAAGGAAAATGAGATGTTGAACTAGAAAGAGCTAAACGAACCAAAACAGAAACAATGAGCAATGAGCAAGCCTGGTAACCAAAGCGAAAGGAAGAGTCCTCGTCACAAATTTGAAGCTCATGTAAGAGTATTAGGTCTGAATGGTAGGCCCCGGTTGTTCGAAGGTTGTATGACGCTATCCACCGGATAAATCTTTATCCGGTGGATAGTGCAATATGATTTGCTATCACTTAACCGCTGGATAGTGACTTATTCGTTGGGTAGCGTTATTCGCCATTTATACAGCTGAGCCTAGGATAATCATACATTAAAAATGGAGGGAACTGACATGGTCTGGTGGGCTAAGCTTTTGC